TGACACATTTCCTTTTTTGTATCAATGCTCTTTACCATTTGGTACATTATTGGAGTGGCTGGTACTTGTTGTTCCTTTCCTTGTTAGTGCTTCTTTCAGGAGCTCATGTAAGGCAGGCCTGGTGGTGACAAAATCTCTCAGCAATTGCTTGTCCATAAAAGATTTTTTTTCTCCTTAGCTTATGAAGCTTAGTTTGGCTGGACATGAAATTCTCGGTTGAAAGTTCTTTTCTTTAAGGATGTTGAATATTGGCCCCCACTCTCATCTGGCATGTAGGGTTTCTATGGAGAGATCCACTGTGAGTCTTAGAGGCTTCCCTTTTTGGGCAACCTGATCTTTCTCTCTGGCTGCCCTTAGCATTTTTTCCTTCATTTCAACTCTGGTGAATCAGATGATTATGTACCTTGGGGTTGCTCTTCTTGAGGAATATCTTTGTGGTGTTCTCTGTATTTCCTGGACTTGAATGGTGGCCTGCCTTGCTAGGTTGGGGAAGCTCTTCTGGATAATATTCTGAAGAGTGTTTTCCACCTTGGATTCATTCTCTCCATCACACTCAGGTACACCTATCAAATGTAGATTAGATCTTTTCATATAATCTCATATTTGTTGGAGGCTTTGTTCATTTCTTTTCACTCTTTTTTCTCTATTCTTGCCTTCTCATTTTATTTCATTGAGTTGATCTTCAATCTCTGATATCCTTTCTTCTGCTTGGTCGATTCAGCTATTGAAACTTGTGTATGCTTCCTGAAGTTCTTGTGCTGTGTTTTTCAGCTCCATCAGGTCATTTATATTCTTCTCTAAGCTGTTTATTCTAGTTAGCATCTCATCTAACCTTTTTTTCAAGTTAGGTTCTTTGCATTGGGTTAGCACATTTTCTTTTAGCTCAGAGAAGTTTGTTATTACCCATCTTCTGAAGCCTCTTTCTGTCAATTCATCAAATTCATTTCATTCTCTGACCATCTTTGATCCTAGCTGGTGAGGAGTTGTGATCCCTTGGAGGAGAAGAGGCATTCTGGTTTTTGGTGTTTTCATCCTTTTTGCACTGGTTTCTTGCCATCTTTGTGGATTTATCTATCTGTGGTCTTTGTAGTTGGGGGTGACTTTTGGATGGGGTCTCTGAGTGGGCATCCTCTTTATTGATGTTGAAGCTATTTCTTTCTGTTTCTTAGTTTTCCTTCTAACAGTCAGGCCCCTCTGCTGCAGGACTGCTGGGTCCACTCCAGATCCTGCTTGCCTGGGGATCACCCACAGGGGATGCAAACAGTAAGGGTTGCTGCCAGTTTCTTCTTCTGCTATCTTCATCCCAGAAGGGTACCCACCAGATGTCGGCCTGAGTTCTCCTTTATGAGATGTCTCCTTGGATGTATGAGAGTCAGGGAGCTGCTTGAGGAGACAGTCTGTCCCTTATAGGAGCTCAAGTGCTGTGCTGGGAGCTCCGTTATTCCATGCAGAACTGCTGGGCTGGCACCTTTAAGTCTGCTGCAGCTGAACTCATAACCGCCTCTTTTCCCAGGTGCTCTGACCTAGAAAAGTCAGCTTTATTTATAAGTTCCTGAAGTGCTGCTGCCTTTTTTGAGAGATGCCCTGCCCCACCCAGAGTAGTCTAGTCACAGTCAGTGGGCAGCAGAGGAATTGCTGAGCTGCTTCAGGTTCTGCCCAGCTGCTGTGTGAACTGCCTCAGTATTAGCAGACTGCCTCAGTAGTGGTATACGCCCTTCCCTCCATTGAGCTGGACCGTCCCAGGTCCAGCTTTGCTTGCTGTGAAACTCTCAATCCAGAGTGTTTCAGATTGCTTGTTTTGTGTGGATGGTACCCACCAAGCCAGATTGCCTGGCTCCCTGTCTCAGCCCCCTTGTTTTCAGTTGAATGGGTGGCTCTGTCTCCCAGGTGTTCCAGTGCCAGTTGAAACAGCCACCCAGATTTGTATGAGTTTCTGTGTGCCAACCTGTGGAACCAGGCATGCTGAAAACTCATGTTGCTTTTTGGCCCAGGAATCTCCTGGTCTGTGGGCAGTGAAAACTTGTTAGGAAATGTGGTCAGCACTCACCCTCTGTGTGTTCTTGCTGGGAACTGCACTCTGGAGCCATTCCTATTCAGCCATCTTGGATCCTCCCCTGTCGTATAATAGATTTCTATGATTTTATGTTTGATCTGGCATCCATCTTTAATCTCACTCTAGCACCAGCAGACTTTTTCTCCCTGTACTTTAAGATGTAAATCTTGCCATTTGATTTTTCACCTAAGAGTTGTTTCCCTCAATATGCAGATTTAGGGCTATTTAGCTGAAAACTGCCAAGGTAATAAACCAGGTTATCAAAAGTTTGCAAGCCTAAATAAGAAAAAGGAGGTCTTAAGAATCTATAAAAAGTGCTTCTATGTTGTGTACACAATGTTTCACTACTGAAAATATTAAAAAGCTATAATTAATTGGCTTAAGGAAAATTAAAAGCACTTAAATCAAATACTTTAACAAAAAAAAAGACTAGTCAAGTGCTTTTTCAAGTTTATGTGACTTAAGTAAAGTATTTAATAAATAAGCTGACTTTAAAAGTATTGGTAAAGTAATAATAGAAATGTCTCAAGAATTGCCAGCATATATTTTTGTTTGCATTTATTGACCAAGAAACTTCCTACTCATCCCTGCCAGATACTATAAGTTATCAAAATTTGGCATAGAGTTTACAAAATTATAAATTCAGCCCCAAACAAAATGATCTTTGCTTGTGTAATTTTAAATAGATAAAACATTAATATTCATTTAATAAGTATATCTACATATTAAATTATTTAATAAAATGCCATAACTCCTAATCTTGTGGCTTTTGGCAGTCTAGTCCACAAGCATGAAAGAGGTTTGTTCCGGCAGAGGACTGTTATCTTTGTTTCAGAGCAAAATATAAACTAAGTAAATGAACAAGACCTTCTTGGAGGTTAGAAGCAAGACGAAGTCAGTTAGGTCAGAACATTTTCAGTCTCAGTTATAATTTTGCAATGACAGTTTCATAACTTTAGTGGCTATCACAATTTTCATAAATAAGTAAACAAATAATTATGTAAATGTAATGGGATACTCATAACTTTGTCATAATTTAGAATCTGAAGTTATAAATTAAATAATAAGTATTTATTTTGATATTTTCCAGTAGGCCCTGGTGTCTGTGGTTCCCTCTTTGTGTCTCTATATACTCAATGTTTAGCTCCCACTTATAAGTGAAAACATGAGGTATTTTGTTTTCTGCTCCTGTGTTAATCTGCTTAGCATAATGGCCTTCAGCTCTATCCATGTTGCTGCAAAGGACATGACCTCATTCTTGTGTTTGACTGAATAGTATTCCATGCCATATATGTACCACATTTTTTATCTAGTCTACCACCGAAGACCTCCACAGGTGGGAGTCAGTGTCTCAGGTGGTGACTTTGATGTGATACGTGTCACAGCAGGCACTCAAACACGGAGCAAACCGAAGTGATCATTGTTGTGGAGAAGGAATCGCAGACCACTTAATACTGGAAAGTAAAGAGGACCTCGAGATCAGGTCAAGTAGTTATAAGTCATTCATACCCACTGGGGATTTCCAAACTCGGGGAGGCATTGTTTCAGGCTAGGGATTAATGATGGGACAGCAGTTATCAGCGCAGCAGCAGCATATGAAAGCATTGAAAAAGGTGCTCAATGCTAGTGGGGCCTCTGTCTCACAACATCAATTAAGAGAGTTAATATAAACTATTGTCTTTAATAATCCTTGGTTCACAGCAGAGGGCATGTTATATCTAGATGTCTGGGTAAAAATGGGAAGAAATCTAAAACAAATTGTGTTCAAGGGAAACAGGTCACTGTAACATCTCTAACATCATGGGCCTTAGTGAGAGTGGCTCTAGTCCCATTATACATAGAAGAGCCCAATGAGGAAAAGGAGAAGGAGCTGCTATCCACCTTACCACCTCCAGTCTCTTCCTCAGCCCAGCTATCATTGGATACAGATAATAAGGAGAAAACAGAGGTTTTGCCTGAACCCCCTCCTCCAATGAGTAAGAAAAAAGATAAGAGAGGCCCACAGTTATGGGTTCTTATCTTAAACAAGCAGCCTTGCAGGGTGAACTCCTGGCCTGCCTGGTAATTGGAGATTGGCAAGGGAATCAGATGCATGAACCCATCTCTTTCAGCACTTATAAAGAGCGAAGAAAAATTGTTAAGGAAAACGGGAGCCACTAGCCCATTTATGAAAGGACTGATTGAGGTTTTAGCAAACAACTTCCAAATGACCCCATGGGACTGGTTAGTGCTAGCTGAAACCATTTTGGAGCCAGCCAGTATCTCCTCTGGAGGGCAGAATATGATGAGTTGTGTGAACAAAAGGCCAAAAGCAAAAGGAATCAGGTGGCAGGAAAAGATGTAACAGCTGCTCTGCTCCACGGGAAGGGTTCCCATGCATAAGTACAACAATAACTAGATTTTGACCCCCAGGCCTATAATCAAGTTTCTTCATAGGCCCTTATGGCCTGGGACTGAATTCCCCAGAATGGAGCTCAGCAGGGGTCTTTTGTAAATGTTCAAGGACCTCAGGAGGTATTTGTTGAATTTATTGATCATTTAACCCAGGAAATGAAAAGACAGATTGAAATTTGTCACAATCAGGCTGTGGATATTTTATTGCAATTGGCTTATGAAAATGCTAATGTGGGTTGCCAGCAAGCAATGCAGGCAGTCAGAGGAAAGACAGCCACAGTCAGGGAACTTATAAAAACATGCCAACTAGTATGAACAGAGACGCACAAAGACAAAGTACTGGCTCTGGCATTAAGGCCTCCTAGAATGAAAAGGGAGGGAATTGTTTTCTATGTGGAGAGCCAGGTCATATGAGAAGGGACTGCCCAAAGAATAGAGACCAAGGTACACCAGACAAAGACCCCCCTTCTATATGTCCCTGATGTAAAAGTGTGAGGCATTGGGCAAATCACTGCAGATATAAATTTGATAGAAGTGACAACCCAAGAGTCGCGGCCGGCTAGGGTTTCCACACGGTCGGTTGCATGGGAGACTATGGCGTCTTCCTCTGTCCCACCGGCCACCGTACCGGCGGCGACAGTGGGCCCCGGCACAGGTTTCGGCTTCGCCTCCAAAACCAAGAAGAAGCATTTCGTGCAGCAGAAGGTGAAGGTGTTGTGGGTGGCCCACCCACTGGTGGGTGTGTTCCTGTGGGGCGTAGCCCACTGGATCAATGAGCTCAGCCAGGTGCCTCCCCAGGTGATGCTGCTGCCAGATGACTTTAAGGCCAGCTCCAAGATCAAGGTCAACAATCACCTTTTCCACAGGGAAAATCTGCCCAGTCACTTCAAGTTCAAGGAGTATTGTCCCCAGGTCTTCAGGAATCTCCGTGATCGATTTGGCAGTGATGACCAAGGTTACCTGGTGTCCCTTACCCGAAACCCCCCCGCAAAAGTGAAGGCAATGATGGTCGCTTCCTAATTTCCTACAATCAGACTCTGGTCATCAAAGAAGTATCCAGTGAAGACATTGCTGACATGCATAGCAACCTCTCCAACTATCACCAGTACATTGTGAAGTGCCATGGCAACACACTTCTGCCCCAGTTCCTGGGGATGTACCGAGTCAGTGTGGACAATGAAGACAGCTAAGTGCTTGTGATGCGCAATATGTTTAGCCACCGTCTTCCAGTGCACAGGAAGTATGACCTCAAGGGTTCCCTAGTGTCCCGGGAAGCCAGCGACAAGGAAAAGGTTAAAGAATTGCCCACGCTTAAGGATATTGACTTTCTCAGCAAGAACCAGAAAGTATATATTGGTGAAGAGGAGAAGAAAATATTTCTGGAGAAGCTAAAGAGAGATGTGGAGTTTCTAGTGCAGCTGAAGATCATGGACTACAGCCTTCTGCTGGGCATCCAGGACATCATTCGGGGCTCTGCACCAGAGGAGGATGAGTCAGAGGTGGATGGGGACTGCAGTCTCACTGGACCTCCTGCTCTGGTGGGCTCCTATGGCACCTCCCCAGAGGGTATTGGAGGCTACATCCATTCCCATCGGCCCCTGGACCCAGAAGAGTTTGAGTCTCATTGATGTCTACGCCATCCGGAGTGCTGAAGGAGCCCCCCAGAAGGAGGTCTACTTCATGGGCCTCATTGACATCCTTACACAGTATGATGCCAAGAAGAAAGCAGCTCATGCAGCTAAAACTGTCAAGCATGGGGCTGGGGCAGAGACCTCTACTGTCCATCCAGAGCAGTATGCTAAGCGATTTCTGGATTTTATTACCAACATCTTTGCCTAAGAGACTGCCCGACTCTCCCTGATGTTCAAGGTGGTGGGGTTCTGGGAGGCTGGGGAATTGTGGATATTCTAGCCACCACGTTTCTTCTTTTGCTAAATTCAGGCTGCAGGCTCCTTCCATCCAGATAACTCCATACTGTTTAGTAGGCTTCTGACCCTCAGAAGTACATTGTCCTTTCTCCCCTTTGCCCATTTTTCTCCCCTCTCTCCCGCCCCACAAGAAGTCTGCTTGTATTATTAGAATGTTATTGTTGATTCTTTCCCAAGTGCCTTGATCTTTGTAAAATCTCCTGCTGTTTCTATGATATAGGAGCTGGGGGAAGGGGGTTGTTTGTCATCTGCAGGACCTGACTGGACAGATGGGCCTGGCTCAAGCAACTACTCTGGATGCACTTTGCTGTGTGGGATGAACTAAACGTGTCTGAATTTTGCTGATAACTTTATAGAACTCACTATGGCATGCTTCCCTCCTGGTGGGCCCTAGATGGAGGAGAGTCAAGATACTACAGATGTGGGTACAGGCATGTACACACACGATGGAATATGGCCAGCCCTACACAGATAGGGTAGAGAGTGGGTCAGCAGCCTGGCATCTCACAGAGGTGGGGCCTACGAGGATTCTTGTGATTATGCAGAGAATTGGATTGGGTCTCTGTCAGAGATGGAGTAATCTCTTCCTTCACCTTAGTTCCATCCCCATCCATCTCTACTTCTGGACACAGGAGCCCAGAGATGGCCAAAAGCATTCAAGCCTGGGGGAAGGTGTTTGACTATTGCTGCTCTTCACCAGAACCTCACACCTCTCCTGGGACTGGAAACCTTCAGTGGGCGTGTGGCCAGTTCTGGAGGCTGGGATTCTGGGCCAGGATGTAAGGTTCATTCTCCATGTTAAGTTTCCTTTCAGCCAGGTGCAGGGGCTCACACCTGTAATCCCAGCACTTTGGGAGGCCAAGGCGGATTACCTGGGGTCGGGAGTTGGAGACCAGCCTGATCAACATGGTGAAACCCCATCTCTACTAAGAATGCAAAATTAGCCAGGTGTGGCACATGCCTGTAGTCCCAGCTACTTGGAAGGCTGAGGCAGAAGAATCGCTTGAACCCAGGAGGCGGAGATTGTGGTGAGCCAAGATGGTGCCATTGCACTCCAGTCTGGGTAACAAGAGTGAAATTTCAGGGCCGGGAGCGGTGGCTCACGCCTGTAATCCCAGCACTTTGGGAGGCCGAGGCGGGTGGATCACAAGGTCAAGAGATCGAGACCATCCTGGTCAGCATGGTGAAACCCCGTCTCTACTAAAAATATTTTTAAAAATTAGCTGGGCATGGTGGTGCGTGCCTGTAATCCCAGCTACTCGGGAGGCTGAGGGAGGAGAATTGCCTGAACCCAGGAGGCGGAGGTTGCCGTGAGCTGAGATCGCACCATTGCACTCCAGCCTGGGTAACAAGAGCGAAACTCCGTCTCAAAAAAAAAAAAGAGTGAAATTTCATCTCAAAAAAAAAAAGTTTCCTTTCATCCTGCCTAGCCATCCACAAGGTATATTTTCAGAAGAAGGGAATATCTCTACTTGGATCAATTCTGGTCATTTCAAGAGGATGGAGGCCTCAGTGTGGGAACCTCCCCTACTCCCTGGATGTGTGTGCCTAGCACACTTCCTTCTCCCAACCCTTCTCAAACCCTTTTTCCAGTTGGATTTGTTGTTCTGTTCTTCTGTCCTGTCTTATACTGCTACTGTGTCTCTTAGGGGACAGATGGACTTCTTTGTCATCTTCACTCTCCACCCCCAGAGAGGAGTCAGAGCCATAACTCAATCACTCAGCTTCTCCAAAGATAGTTGAGTTGATGATGTGTGATATTCTCATAATGTTAAGAACCCTGATGAGATGAGATACATTGTCTTCCCCACCCTACAATGCCTCTGGAGCCAAGGCACCCATTCATCTTGCTAGCCTCCATCCCCCTGAGGCTTCCACTTTTTTTTTTTTTAACCTTCAGATGGGCACCAGCAACTGGTCTGTGGTGATGCAAAGCTGCTTTGCTCTGTATCTGGCTGGACTGATCTATCTCCCAAGAAGCCATGAGGCAATAGGGAGAAGCTCTCTCTCTCCTCTTCATCTTCTGCTCCAAAGGAGGTAGCAAGAAAAGTACCCTGTTAGGGGTTGGAGCCCCTATAACATCTTCCTGTCAGGAGACTGATGGATCTTTTTCATTCCAACCATCTCCCTTTCCCCCAGTGAATGCAATAAAACTTTGTGACACCAATAAAAAAAAAAAAAAAAAGTGACAACCCTATAGGTAATCAGAGAGGAAACTTCATGAAGGGTCATCCTCAGGCCTCATTTCAAACTGGGGCAATGCCAGCAGCTTTCCTCAGCCAGACGGAAAGTCCACAGTCTTCTCTCTCAGACTAGCCACCACTAGGAGCACAAGCTGAACTTACTCTGCCCAAATGAATTAGTGTTAAAAGAAGGAGAGGACCCCAAAGAGTTGCTACTGGGATCTGGGGCCACTGCCTCTGGGAACAGTCTAGTCTATCCAGTAAATGAATTAAGGTGCTCACTGGGGTTATTGATAGTGATTATCAAGATGAAATGTTAGTGATGATGGAATGTAAAGGTCTGCATATTCTTCCCCGTGGATCAAAGGTAGCTCAGCTACTGATTTTATTATACTGGGTTCCTAGTGTCCAAGGAAAAGAAAGGGGTGAGGGAAGTTTTGGAAGCACAGGAGCCGCAGGAGTATATTGAAACCAGCTAATCCCTGATCAGAGACCCATGATTACCTTAAAAATTGGAAATAAAAACTTTACTCTCTTATTGGACACAAGGGTGGATATTTCAATTATCAGTGATCAAAACTGGCCCAAAACATGGCCTCATGTCACTCAGGAGCAAAAGATTGTTGGCACTGGGAAAGCACACACAACAAAGCAGAGCACATGCCCTCTAACATGCTTTGATCTGGAAGGGAGAAAGGCAGTTATACAACTTCTGATTATGCCCATCCCTGTTAATCTTTGGGGATGGGCTCTATTAGCCCAATGGGGGGTCACTCTGCAGACCCCTTTCTAGTCATGGCCACTGTTGTTATTCCTCATCTACTCCCAACGTGGTTCCCTCAAGATCCTACCTAGGTAGAATAGCAGTCTCTGAAGGGAAAGAAATTACCAAGATCCCATGAATTAGTAAATGAAAACTTACAGGCTGGACATATTGAACCTTCAACTAGCCCTTGGAACTTGCTCATTTTTATCATTCCTAAAAAACCTGGCAAGTGGAGACTTTTGCATGACTTAAAGGGCTGTTAATACTAAATTGCAAACTATGGGACCTCTGCAACCTGGGCTCCCCCATCATGATTCCTCAGGACTGGCCTATAATTGTTATTGACCTAAAAGACTATTTGTATATGCTTCCTCTGGCAAAACAGGACAGGGAAAAATTTGTGTTTACACTTCAAGCTATTAATAATAAAAGGCCAGCTTGCCAATTTCATTGGAAGGTGCTTCCTCAGGGAATGCTCAACAGTTCTACCGCGTGTCAGTGTTATGCAGATCAAGCTTGACTTCCCAGTAGGAATGAAATTCCCTGATTTGCAAGATTATTCATTTTGTGGATGACATTTTACTGGCAACCCCAATGAAGCCTGTTTTTTTTTTTTAAGTTGTATTCCTCTATTGTAAAGAATACACAGTTAAGAGATGTGATCATTGCACCTGAGAAAGCACAAATATCCTCTCCCTGGAAATATCTTGGATACATGTTGTCTTCTCAGTCAGTAAGACCTCAAAAGGTTAAATTAAATACTATCGACTTACATATACTGAATGATTATCAAAAATTATCAGGGGACAGTAACTGGATTTCCCCCTCTTAGGCATTCCTACTTATAAAGTTGCAGAGCCTGTTTTCTATCCTAAAAGGTGGGTACAGCCCTGGATTCTCCCAAATGTTTAACCCGTGCAGCTAAAAGAGATTGAAGAAATAGAACAGGCCATTTCTCATAGGCAACTAGATCACATAAACCCAGGCTTCCAGTCCAGCTGTTTATTCTTCCCAGTAAACACTCCCGGCTACAGGGTTAATAGGACAAATGGTCCCAGGACTATGCTTTCTAGAATGGGTTTTTTGCTCACATACCAGTACTAAAACTGTCCCCTATAATCACTTAATTAGTAAAGTAATTTATTCAGGGTGCAGACAATGCAGTCAGCTGCTAGGTTATGACCCTGAGATTATCAGGATTCCTTTAAGGGAAAGGCAGTTCAAGGAAGTTTTGCCCCTGTTGTTAGATCTGCAAATATTACCCGATTAATGGAGCAAATTGAAAATGCTTTTCCTGCTGATAAGCTCCTTCAGTTCTTATCTTTTACTCCTGTAATTATTCCCTACAAAGGTCATTTACTCCCCCATACCTAATGCTTTGACACTCTTTGCTGATGGGTCAAGTAAACAAGGAAAGGTAGCTATTTGGTGGAGACCTCATAATTCAGTCACTCAATCTGGATTCACTAGCACTCAGAGAGCTAAGACTGGAGCCCTGATTCTGGCCCTGGAAATGTTTTCCACTCAGCCCATAAATACTGTAAGTGACTCTGCATACTCCGTTTATATGTTACAAAATCTTGAAACAGCTTTGGTTCAGTCTAATCTTGAGCCTACCCTATGTGCTCTTTTTCTTTGACTTCAGCAATTGTTAGATCAGTGCACACATCCGATTTTTATCACACATATTTGAGCCCACAGCTCACTGCCTGGCCCATTGGCTTATAGCAATGAACAAGCAGACTATGTAATGACGTCCCTGCTTGTCCAAGCCACCCAATCACATCAATTTTTCATCAAAATTGGAGAAACTTGACTAAGCAATTTCAACTTACTCAGAGACTGGCTAAGCAAATTATCCTACAATGCCCAGACTGCCAGCTGACAGGCACATCCCCTCCTTCAACAGGAGGTAACCCTAGGACTACAGCCTAATCAGTTATGACAAACAAATGTTACTCACA